ACCATTGTAAAGTAAGAACAGAGAATGTTGCTCTTAACCCAATTGTAAAATCTCTAATACTAGAGATCTCTCAAAATCTTTGCCATAAAGGTAGTATTTTGCACTTTCTAAAGAAAAATATTTTCCATTCTTGCACAGGATAGGTAGATAAATTGTAGAAGTTCAGTCTCACCATTTCTGTTTCTGCATAAGGATGTTGCTATTTCTAGTGCGGTTCTGTTTGGATTGTATTGATTCAGTGATAGGGTACATATTCTGTATTCATCTTTTTGAAAGAAATAAAATATACACAGCAGGTACACCTGCAGAATGTTATATAAGAGCTGCGATTCTCTGTAGGATGCATGTGTTTATTTGTGCTGCAGTCCCAGAGTGGACATCTTTGGCATTCACGTTAAAAAATGACAGAAGAGGGGAGATTGGTCTTATAAGTTAAGACACTGACCTGTAATCCTTAACCTTTTCTTTTTATTTGTATCCTCTCTTCCCAAGTAGTCTCTCCAAATCTAGATTCTCTGAAAGCCAAAATTCCAACAGGTGTTTCAGGCTCAGTTGCTATTAACCAATCCCATTAACACCCTGCCTCTATAGTCAGCCTGACCAGCCTCAGGTGCTGATGTGCGAACTCCTGGATCTGTCCTTTGGAAAGGTTATTAAACACATGGAGAGAGAACTGCTTTAGAATAAGAAAACACAACCTTTCACCAACTGTTCTTCTGTTGTCAAGACACTTCCCCTCTCTGAAAAGCAATTTTCTCTTCCTCTCTCCATGAAACGAAGGTATCTTGGTCTCATCCTGCCCATTTGCCAAAGTGGGAGATAAGGCACGTAGGCCAAAGCCTAAGGGTCATGTGACCTGGCTATGAGAATAAAAGATAAATCAGGCCATCTAGGAGCACGTTCCCTGTGACGTTTCTCTCAGAAGGAGGTCTTTATTCCATCTCCCTACAGTAAGTGTTTTGAAGGTAGATTCTGTGTCATGTTCTTGTATCCTCGGTGACTAGCACAGCACATAGTCTCATTAAATAAATGCTAGTTGGTTAATAAGGGAGCCCTTTCACCCTAGGTTCCAGAAGTAATAACAGCAGCTGATTGAGCAACATTTCATATCTAATGTCAGGACACTTAGAGACTACCAGAAGCAATCCATAGTTTCCAGCTGGCGTAATCCTTTCTCAACTAGGAGGTCACAATGATGTCATAAGGCTCAAAAGTTTTTGTGAGGATTAATTGAAAAACGTATCACAAAGTTGAAGAGGGCAAGAGAGGTAGGGAGAGTTGGACCTGAGATATCTTTCCACTCTGGGGCCTGCTGCCGCTAGAATCTTGAAGGAGCCATGTAACTTGTCTGAGCCTCTGTCCCCATCTGAACAGTGAGGTGGACTGTGTCTGTCCTGCTTCCCCCACAGAGACCCATTTGCAATGATAAAGGATATGATAAAAAAGACAGAGGGTCCTACAAATGTAAGGAATTTAGTGGAAAAGAACATGGACTGAAACGTACAAAACCTGGCTCTGACCCATATTAGCTTTGTAGCTGGTACTACTGAAATCGTTTCTTCCTATGTAAAATCAAAGTTCGATTAGTTTATTTTTGATGCCTTTTGTGTTAATAGAGATGAGTTTGTAGAAATTCTCCTGGTGTGATTAGAGTTTTAAAATAATCCTGTGTCTATCATTTTAGGCTTTATGAATTCTAAGAAAACGTTGCACTAAAACTTTTGCCCATCTTCTGAATAATGTCTGAATTTGCAGAATTCAATGTGTTTTCCTGTATCTAAAGAATTTGGCTGTACTTAGTAACACTTCAAGCTTTTATCAGTGCCCTCACTTCACTGCTAATGAGTTCTCCTCTCTTCTGTTATCCATTTTGGTGAGATGGGAGGGTGGGATAGCTGGAGGACCAACCTGTCTGTTTCAGTTTTACCTGGGTTTGTCCCGCACATCAATGGATTAATCTGGTATAGGCATTCATAGGAATAAACATGCTCACTTGAGACAAGAATTTCTAGACTCTGCAACCATGACAACCATCTCCAGGCTCTTCATTTTGTAAATGTCACACCTGTAGTATTTGCAAGGGCCTCGGAGTTCTTCCCATCTAGCCCTCTTGTTTTTCGTATGGGAAGCCGGGGCCCAGAGTAGCAGCTTGCTGTTGGCCACAGTGACCTGAACAAAGAAAATCTGAAGTCCCAACAGGCTGCATACCATATACTTGGTAGCTGAAGGTAGTTAACCACTGAGAAATCAAATCTGGCATGTCCCCACATTTGCAGTGTTCATCGTAAAATCTGCCCTTTTGATTTCTTGCTACTTTTCAAATAGAAGCAGAGGTGTTTATTTTATTTCAGGTGTGACATTTTGCAGTATTTAGCACTGTCGACTAAGAAGTGGAGTTGTGGTAATTATATTTGAGTTCTTCAGATCATTCTTGCTTAGTCTGGGCTAACTTTAGATGGCTTATTCTATGCTAGCCACTGTGCTAAAAGCTTTACATGGGTTATCTCATTTAATCTTTCCAATAAAGAAGGTTATAACCTGTGAGGAACTGCACTGTGCAGGTGAGCAAAATGAAGAGAAGAGGTTCAGTGATTTTCCAACATCATGGAACTCATTCATGGGAAGCCAAAGATAAATTCAGCCTAGCTTCACACTTGGGCCATGGGAGAAAGATCAAGGAGTCCTTTTCCTTGTCAGTAACAATTCCAGATACTTGAGAATCACCTAGGCACATGGATTTGCTGGTCTCATCCTGCCCATTTGCCAAAGTGGGAGAGAAGATCTCCTTGGAAGATAACTCCTGATAGCCAGAGATGTGTGCATGTGTATGTGGATATATTTATATATATAATGTAGCATGTCTAAGATTCAAGTATTTTGCTATCTTTAGTTTATGAGTTTATATTGGTGGGGGGAGACTAGCACTGACACTAATTAGAAGGGGAAACAGTCCTCCTCTATCCTCATAGCATCTTGCACCTAGCAGCTCTTCAATAAATGCCTATCGAATTAATCCTTATTCTCTATGGAAAATGGCACTGGAACAAGGACCAGAAGATGTAGGTTCTGGTCATGGTTTTAACAGCAATTCACTGTTAACAACTAAGCCAGGTCAGTTTTCAGCTACGTGCCCTAGTTTTCCACATCTTAAAGGGAGTCCAGAAATGGAAGGATTGATGCTTCTACAGCAGTAGTGTGTTCACTCTCGGGCTCACAGCTGGAGTGTCCATATACTTGGCCATTTTAGCATGTCAGGCTGGGTGCCTGGCATTGTCACATCCTGAGAGATTCATCCAGACTAGGGCACTGGGTAAGCTCAGACTTCATCAGCCAGGTACAAGGGAGTTGCCATGAGTTTGGAGCAGCGCTTGCCAGATACACTGTTGCTCTCAGCAACTCCTAATGGTAGGTAGGTTCAGCGCTGTACCAGTAGGGCTATGGTGAGAAATGGAGAGAGCCTGGACTGCCTGTTTTGGGTCTCATAAAAGAATGACAGCTGCACAGAGAGTCTTTCCTCTGTAGAGACTGTTAGAGCCTGGGAGCACCTACGAAACAATGAGGGCACAAGGAGCAAGAGCCACATTGACGAGATTGCAGGCATGTCCAGATTGGAAGTGGCAAATTAAGAGAAATGATGTGAGTGGGGCAGAATCAAATTTAAAAACAGTTTCAAGATCACCCCTCAGAACTGAGAGCAGTAGCAGTGTAGACTAAAGGGACTTAAACATAATAGGAGGACCAAGAACATCCAGGAGGGGAGCACTCCCTCCATCCTTCCCCTGTGCCCCTACTAGCTGGCTGAAAACCAAGGAAATGCAGGTTACAAACCCAAGGGAGCTGAGCTTTGTGAGGGGTCATGACCTCCAAGGTGCATGTTTCTATCCTTCCACCCACTGACTCACTTTTTCTGGGAAGAAAACCTTAGACGTTTATTAGATCATAATAATAGTAGACATTTGCCCTCTTCCTTGCACAATTCTGAATTCAAAATGCTCTGAAAACAGTTTGTTGAAAATAATTTTGTGGCAAACTAATTTGGTGGCAAACCTGACCAAAACAGACAGGGTGCTACTTAGAGTCTCTATTCTATACCACACTTAGTGGGAAATACGTATGTTTGATGGCAAAAATACTCCTCTATTTGATCACGGAGTGCCTCCACGGACCAAGGTGTGGGTAATAGGCAATTTATGGAAAATGCATCTTGCTGCCTTTCTGAAATTGGAAGAATTCTGAATTCCAAAAACATCTGACCCGGGAGGAGAGACTGCAACCCGTAAATTGTTTTCTGTAAATCTTGGTGCATTCCTTTATCCCTTAAGGAAATGAATGTTTCCTTTGCTCCTCTCACCCTCACGGAGCAAAGTGGGGGGAGGGGAGAAGCAAAACAAATGTAATTGGTGGCTCTCGGGCTGCAGCTAAGGCTTTTGGGGGGTCAGGGTCCTCAGTAGGAGTCGATTTTTGGAGGACAGAAATCTGGATCTGTACCTTGCCTGAAATTAAAAAAAAAAAAATCACCGATGTCGCTGCGGCGCTGCAGCATCCAGGTCCTCCGTCCGGCAGCTGCGGGAGCTGTGCGGGAGCTGCTCGGCCTCCGGTGCGTGCGACTCGCGGGACCGTAGCGCCATCTGCCCTCCAGATTCGGGACCGGATCCTCGCCCGGCCGCGGGCCCGCTTGCCTGCGGAGCCCCTCAACACCCAAATCCTAAAGGAAGAGCTGCAGAGAGGGCTAGGAAAATGTGTCTTCTTTTCGTTAGTCCCCGAACAATTCAGTTCGTAACCTAATCCATTAGGGAGCGTGGGCCAGAGACCCCGTGTTTCATTAGTGTGCACCTAGTGAGTCATTTTACACACTAGACATTTTAATTTACAACCTGCTGCATTGCAGCACTTTTCTGGGCCTTCTGCTATGTCATAAGGTATTCTTCTAGCCGCCATGGCTTCAAAAATATAGATACCCTTTCTTAGTTCAGATTGTTTTCTTTCTTTTCAATTTTCAGTTGCAAATCAAACATGCAGTTACAGAAGCAGAGATTCAAAAATTGAAGACCAAGGTAAGCACCATTAAATGGTGTTTGAATTGTACTTTTTAAACTTTGGGTACGATGAATAAATTCAACCCGAGGACTAAAGTATTTGCTCCTGCGCATTTGAAAGAGTACAAATGTGAGAGGTTCATTTCCACCGTTAGATATGTAGACAGACCTGCCAGGGAGAGCATTTACCCCTGGGGGGTAAGCACCACCATATTCCTTAAGTGAAATGGCACAGTGTTTTAAAAATACATATTTACATATCTGCACATATGTGGCCAGTTCCCTCTGAGATTTCCTCAAAAATTAAGTATTGTTAATGGTTCTAGCATCCGAATTATGTTTCAACCACTAATTACACTGTTCTTATTATACAAGCTATTATGCCGCATCTCTTTCTATTTATCTTAAGTAGGTCTAATCATTTATTTATTTTTAACATATTCATCAGAAACAATGTAAAAAAAGAAACAATGTATTTTAATGTAGCACATGAATACTTTTTCATAGAAAAAATTCCAATTTCTAATAATTAAATATTATGAAATTTACTATAATATGTGAATAATTGATTTTAGGTGTCAGAATGCTGCTGGAAATTTTTAGACAAGTTTAGTATGCATTATTTAAATTTGTGGAAAAAAAACAGGTCTTGATAAATCAAGGGAGTATGTATTTTTAGGTTATATATGAAATAATACAAGATTCAAAAGGGCATGTTTAGTTGGTAAATTATAAGGTACTTGTATAAATTCCTACAGTTGTATCTAGTTTTATCAAATATGTAATTTCAAGGATTTAAAAATATTTTCTGAATTATTTTAAAATAATATTCTTTATTGTTTTTGTGGTCTTTTAAAAACTAAGACATAATTTCTCTCCCATCATTAATGATCTGTTTTCCTGTTCCCATTGAACACTTATTTTGGGTTTTCCATGTGTTTTAAATGGAGATAAATTAACAGGGCTATTTTGGTTAAATGGTATTCTCAGCTAATAACTCTGTAGCTCTTTAGTCAAAACATGTCTATACATCATTCATGGTGTCAGCCAAGCTCTGTGAATAATCATTTTTAAATTAGTAGTGGTTGGTAAATAAACAACTTGAATACAAAACATTGCTTATTAAAAGATGCAGTAAAAACCTAGTCCTGTTTTAAATTGCTTTTGTTTCTTAGCACAGAATGGAAGAATAGATTTTTTTTTAATTGTTCGTTATAACCAGGGAGAAAGATTCCCCTGTGGATTGCAAGTGCTTTAACAAAGCTAATGTGTTAGACCAAAAGCATTTAATGTAGAAAATCCTATAAATTAGTATTTTGTATTTTTCTCTTTATTATATTGGCATGTAGTATCTATAGTAGCTTACTTTACTGTGACTCTTTATATCCGTGTTCATAATAGAATTCCTAACTTTGGAATGTTTTTGATTTTTTTTTACTTTGTAATCTGTTTTGTCAATGTATTTAAGTTTAAAATATACATTAAAAGATTATATATTTGCTGAATGTGGTATGGTTTTGGGATGTCTTCGATTTTGAAAATTGTTAGCTTATAATGACTCTCCATCCTTTTGAACTTTAAAGGAAACATGTGAATTAGATGAAGCCCTAGTTTAAAGGTCTCTTATTGTGAATAGATGACCTTTGACTCTTCACCTAAAGGATCAGCCTTGAATTTCTGTAGAAATAAGGGGGTTGGACTAGTTTACCATCTATTCTTAAGAGTCCCTGGAAGCAGAAACACAGGTAACTGCCTTTCTGTTTCATTGGAGGGATTTACAATAAGTCAGCAGTAATTTATATTTTTACTTACACTGTCTTTTATACTTTTATGCAAATTGAAGTTTATGAGGCTCTGGAAATTCAGAACACTGCCAGCAAAATAATGAACTACAGACTATGTTTATGTCAATTGAAATAAAGAATGTAATCATATTATTAAAAGGGATAAAAAAACAAAGTAAAAATAACCAGCATTTATCAGAGGATGCTCAAGGAGCTGTTCCAAGCATGCTGCTGTGTTATATCACAAATCTGTCTTATTGATAATATACTTGAGTCTTAGAGAGCTCCAGTTATTTGCCCACATTTTAAAGGCCAATGATGGCAGAGCTAGGATTCAACTCTAAACTGAATGACTCCAGACGCCCTCTGAACTATTAAGCCAAACTGTTTCTGCCCCTCTCTTCTTTCCAGTGTATCTCTCCCCGTCACTTTTCAGTTACATCTACATCTAAGTATATGTAGGATAAAAGTCTAAAAGAAGGTACATTGAAGTTCATTGGGTATAATCCAGTCAAACTGTAAAACAGTATGTCCTGCTCACAGAATTTCAAACAACATGGTGTGATGGGAAGATCATGGGAGTTGAAATCAGATCCAGGTTTTATTATTTATCAGATGTGTGACCTTGGTTGGACAAAGCATTTCACTTTTCAAGGCTTCCATTTTGTAATCTCTGAAATGCTGAAAATAAGACTTGCTCTTCTCATCTCAAGGTTCTAGATGATTAAGTATATGTGACAGTGAAACTTAATTTAAAACATGCTTTTAAAAACATAGTGGATTTTTGCTGCAGAATACCCAGATTATCCTTGCCTTGACATTTGCTTTATCCAGCTGCAAGCAGCAGAAAATGAGAAAGTGAGGTGGGAACTAGAAAAAACCCAACTCCAACAGAATATAGAAGAGAATAAAGAGAGAATGCTGAAGTTGGAGAGCTACTGGATTGAGGCTCAGACCTTATGCCACACAGTGAATGAGCATCTCAAGGAGACTCAAAGCCAGTATCAGGCCTTGGAGAAGAAATATAACAAGGCAAAGAAATTGATCAAGGATTTTCAACAAAAGTAAGCAGCTCCTAATGACTAAAGAATCATTATGTGCGTCTAAAGAAGGCTTCTATCCAGTGATTTTGTAACAATGAACAGAATAGAAAAGATAATCTTGGTTATCCCTTTTTAGCAGAGTTATAAGGCATAGACATTAAGTTTTGGAGATCCCTTCTGTTATTTTTTCATGTGAGATTATATTCTGTTTATTTTATGATTTTTTTTTTTTTTTTTTGGCTGTCAGTGACCCGCTGATTTCTTTTTGATAGTTAGCAAGTCCTGGTAACTATGAAAACACTTGAATCTCTGTCCTTTTGGAAACAACTCTGTGACTAGGAAGCATGGAAGCCCAGTTGAAGTCACGCAGAATGACTGAACATACAAAGTAACAACTGGGCCCTTGATGAGACTGCTTCTGTCTCTGTACTTAGAATCAAGAACTGCAAAATTTTCCCACTTCAGATAGTGTAAATATTGATTAGCAAGACCTCCTGCCCTGCCATTTTCCTTGCTCAGCTGTGAGAGAATCACAAGAGCCTCAGTTGCCTGCAGTGAGAGTCCAGTGCCACATTCTGCTGTTGAATCTCATCAGCTCTTTCCAAACGAATGCTGCTTTGCTTCCCTCTGTTGGATTTTAGTGTAATTTCAGGGAGATAGTTACTGGATTTTTTCATCAGTTAGTTCTGACCAGCCAGAACAATAAAAAGTCATGCCAGGACCTCTTCTGGTCTTCCATGCCAAGCTGTAGAGACTAAGCATATGTGTAAGAATCACAATATCTCTGTTATTTCCTATCACAGAAAGAATGTTTAATATTTAAAGAAGACTGCTTTAAATTATTTATTGTAAAAAAAAGGGGGAGAATAACTCTTTGTGGTCATGAATTCAGTACATCACTGTTTTAACTCTTCCTGCCAAAAATGTCACACCTCATTATATTTCATGTGATAACTTTATAGTAAATGTTGCCAAATTTGCAGGTTGTATTCCAGGCTCTCAAAATGGAGATATTTTCTCCTTCTCCCCATATTATCCTCAGGTGTGTAAATGAAGGCTCCCTCTCAGTGTTTCTTACCCGCCAGCCCTTTGCCACATCATTCGTAGAAAGCAAGTTATAATTATCTTCTGTAAACTCTTACCATCCAGTCCCAGCAGTTTATGAAGTATATGACTTTGTAAATGTGGAATTATAACTACCTGACATGTAATCATCTCCACTAAATTACCCAAGTGGGCCATTAGTTCAGTAGCTTCTCTCTAAATCTATATGGGTACCCTAGAATCAGGAGTTACAAATTACAATCACAGTAAGCAGAGTCAAAGCATTCTTATTTATGATACATTTCAATGTTTTATTTGCTTTCATTACTGGATCCCTTTTTTTCTAACCATGATTGAGTCTCGTTTATTTAAATAGCTGCCCAGTTATTTGTCCCACTGTGCAGTTTATTGTTCAGTTAAGAACTTTCACATATTTCCTCATTTATGGAGTCTTTGATGCCATCAGATCTTTTATTTTCTTTTTAAGAGAACTTGATTTCATCAAAAGACAGGAAGCAGAAAGAAAGAAAATAGAAGATTTGGAAAAAGCTCATCTTGTGGAAGTCCAGGGTCTGCAAGTACGGGTAAGTTACGTGCTCAAAACCACTAAGTAATAGGATGGTTTTGCTGAGTACTGAGTACTAAGACCAGTGCTGCCTTAGAGTTTTATGGATGGATTTTTTTTCCTCCTTAGATTAGAGATTTGGAAGCTGAAGTATTCAGACTATTGAAGCAAAATGGGACTCAAGTTAACAATAACAACAACATCTTTGAGAGAAGAACGTCCCTTGGTGAAGTCTCTAAAGGAGATACCATGGAGAACTTGGATGTCAAGCAGACATCTTGTCAAGATGGCCTTAGTCAAGGTTTGTTTAAGCTAACCGCAAAAAATGGTTTTTAATGACTATAAGACTCAGCCTTAAAATTTTCTTTTTCTTTCCCAGAGACTTAAAAGTTGAAAAAAACCTTCCTACCATGAGAAAGACAAAAAGGCTTATCAAAATAAGAACCTGTCACTTGGTTCTTTTTTTTTTTTTTAAATCAAAAAATCAATGCTTTGATGTATGGAAATAACAGAATTGCAACTTAAACTACTTAATTTTAAGCCACCATAAAATTGATAGACTTAATAAACTACCTTTAAAAAATTAAAAAAAATAAACTACCTTAAAAAAACTACCTTAAAATGATAATTCATCCCATCTAGGGTGAGGTAGTGTTTATGTATTAAAAAGTAAGACTTAGAATTTTTAAGTCATTAGAATGAAGATCTTTTTCTTAACATTAAAAGCTAACTACCTACCTCTAGCACTTGGAATTCATTAAGAAGTTCTGTTAGTTTTATGCTTTTATATTGGTGTCCTCTGTATACTTCTCATTCTTTCCTGTCAAAGAGCAAATAAAATCAAGACACCTGGGTGGCTCAGATGGTTAAGTGTCTGCCTTTGGCTCAGGTCATGATCCGGAGTCCTGGGATCAAGCCCCACATCGGGCTCCTTGCTCTGCTTCTCACTCACCCTCTGCCTGTCGCTCCCTCTGCCTGTGCTCTCTCTCTCTCTCTCTCTCTCTCTCTCTCTCTCAAATAAGTAAATAAAATCTTTAAAAAAAAAAAGAAAAAGCAAGTAAAATCAAAACACTGGAAACATTTGCTGTTATAAATGTTTGTCTTATTTATGCACCAACCATAAAATGGTCATTTATTTTCTTGCACAGACATCCATAAATAGGTTGTGTGTATGTGAATGAATGTTTTCATATCTATAATATATTATTAAATTAGAAAATGTATAATAATTTATAAAAATAAGTATACAGGGAGATATAAAACCTTTGGTTTCATCTTTTAAAGTTTTTACCTAATAATCCTTGGAAAAAGCGAAAGTAAAAGAATGTTGTGAATCAGCACTGTCATGATAGGACAGACAGCTCACAGGCAGAGCAATTTGACATGCAGTAAAACTGTTCACTAATGAGCTATTTAATTCTTTGATGATCTTTCTCACATACTAAAATGTCTCCAACGAGACTTTTCTGATACATAAGTGTTTATATCATATCATTAACTTTTAGAACTACACTCTTAGCTATTAAAAATGAAAAGTATTGGAAATATTCATTTAAAATTAAAGTGAGATCTAGAGATTTGAGACCATTTACTACATTTTTATTTTACATTATTACGGGCTTTCCCGTAATAAAATATAATGTGTAAATAATGCCTCTTTGGCAGCTTAAAGAGGAATATTTAGCACCAGCATTACCACTAACTGAAGAGCTGTGTGTCTTCAGGAAGGTCATTTGGCATCTCTGGATTGGCTTTACTATGTATAATATAAAAATAGTAACACTTCAGTTTTCTCCATACTAACAGGTATTTTGAGGTTATATGCATTTGTCTCTGAGGTGAATAAAAGCTTTTATACGATTATAATTTTTATATCTGGAACTCTGTAACATTGATTTCTAAAGAAAAATGTCATTAAAAAACAATGGGTTTTTTTTCACCTTTTCGAATATTTTAATTCCATTAAATTAATTGTAGTTTATAATAAATATGTGTTTCTGCCATGATAGGCACAAAGTATGATCAGTAACCAATAGCTTTCCAATGTTCATTTCATTTCTGTTCATTTGTTTCAATTTAGAAATCAGTATCTTGTCAAACATCTAATTAATGGTATTTATTAAATTATGTGAGTACAGAAGATCAACAAACTCTACTATTAACATGCTGATTTGGATCAAAACCTTATATTTCTTCTGAACCCTTTTCCTATTCTACACCCTCCATTTTGCCACATAATTATCAGTTTCCCTAGCAACACTGTGGGTTCACAGTGAGATGCAGAGACTACTAATTCTTACTGAAACCAATCCATGCTTGTGCAGTAGAGGTGGAATCCGTCATCTTAGACATTAGTAGCATACATATCAAGCGGTGCTCTTCCAGTTTTGCTGCCGAGGACAGTCAGTGATAAATCTCCTTGAATTTCAATTGCTTGATCACATAAACTAAAATGGCTTGGTCAGTAGCTAGATAGGAATGCTCTGGAAAGCACTTTTCTAAATTGATCCTTTGCTTCCGTTGCTAGGGAACGCTGAAGTCCTAGAGGTTTAGAAAAGGAAGTAAAACTGCGGATCAGACACAGGCCAGTCAGCACTTAAAGATCCCCCCCGCCCCCCCCCCACACACACCTTTTTTGCAACAGGATGGGTAAGGCAACTACCCATCAGTTTTGCTAGTTTCTGCCCCCTAGATGCAGTGCTCTTTCTCCCCACTTCCTGGGGACTATCCAATTCTGACTTGCTTTATGAGAACTGGTGTGTTTTATTGATAGGATGAGTGCTTTAGCATAACTTTAGGCCTTGAGGCAGCTCAGTGAAGCAAAAGGATGATCAATTAAAGTCCGTGAAAAACTATGTTAGAGTGAAATAGTGAAAGAAAGACAATGGAAGGAGACAAAATGAAGGAGGCAGAAAGGGAGGAGGAGGAAAGGAAGAGCACACAAGAGGTCGTTTCTTTGCAGGGAGTCATGCTCTTCTAAGAATGAGCTTCCCAACTGAGGAGTGATTAATTACGTGACTCTCAGTATTGAATTATTGTAAGTTTTCAGAGTGATAAAATCATTTTTCAAACTAAGCAGAAATTTCCTACCACAACAATTCTATTTGAACACTATTTGTGTGGTTTTCTCTATAAACCAAGCCTACTCAACTATCTCATTAAAATGTTGATATATTATACAAATCCATTACTTAATATGCTCTAATACATTTTCTTACCATAATACATAAAGCAAATATAACAATTTTTTTCACCAGGAGCCATGACAAACCCTTTTTAGGGATTATTACTTAATTATTAAGAGTTATTAATTAGCACTTGTTAAATAAAACACATTGTTTAACCTGTGTTCTAGAATGTGAAAAGTAATTATTTTGCCCTCCTGCCATGTTTTGTGTTTGTCATTTCTTAGTGCCTGAGGTCCATGAGCCCTACATGACTAGAAATGTCTGCTACTGCCCAGGTAGTTAAGTCATGATTAGAATAGGAGCAGAGAACAGGTATGTTGGAGAGATCTTGAAAGAAAAGTATTATAGTCTTAGTTTGATAGATTCCCTGGAAAACTCACTTTAACAACATGAGCTTCCTGCACTTCAAATATTCTGGGATCCTTAAGATGATACTGTTTTTGGCTTCAAATAGTTTAAAGTCTCTTGTGAAAGGTTCTGCATGTTCCATAGAGATAATGAAAGAAAAACTAGGACTAATTGGTAGAAGTTACATATGAAAGCAGATTATCATTATCCTGCCTTGAGAGGTTAGAAGTATGTATGATACCTTTAGAAAAGTATTTTGAACACTGAAAGCCTGGTGGCACACTGACTTGTAAGAGGAAGGATGGCTCCTAGGTAGGAAGAACAGTGTTTGTCCCTGCCATCTATATAAGAAGGCATGCAATTTGTAGGATAAAAGGGGAGGAAGATGAACGGTTTAGTATAAATGATATAAACATTTTAAGAGATGAGAGGGAGTTTGAAGAAGAGGAAAAAATGAATAAAATTAGAATTATTTTTTTTCTGATTCATAGACCTTATGTTAAAGAATAAGACCTTATGTTAAAGGTATGCTACAGGGTATTCTTGGAGTAAAAGTAGGCTTTGAATGTCTGAGAAGAATTCATAACTATTTCTGTAAGCACTATGACCTATTAATAGTTTTGAGGCATAACAGGAGCTGGGTCACTTGTAGGTTTGTAAAGTAGTTCAAGTATCCCCATGAAGTTTGAGTATTACTACTAAATGCTTATTTCTCCTACCCATCAGCTAGTAGGCCACTAGTTAGAAAACACTGAATGTTATCTTCCCTAAAGTGTGAACATGAAGAATTATATAAAGCCTTTTTTATTATTAATTCCTTATTACTTACTACTCCTTAGCTCTAATGAGAACTGAGCCAGAAGAAAAAGAGTGAAGGTACAAGATGGCAGATTGTAGGAAAGTCTAGATTTTCAGAATAGATTGTATCTGGAATTAATTACTCGAACCTGGGTGTCTTTAAAAAAAAAGAGAGAATATTTCTAAGCTACTTTCCAGGTAATTTAAGGCTATCTTAGAGAAAGGAGCATAAGGATATGCTTATCTTAATATGCTTAATATCTTCTTGTTCCCTCTCCTTTCCCTTACACTTTTTCCACAAAATGGTTTGGCTGCTGCAATAAAGCTCTAGATTTCCTGAAAGTAGATCCCTAAGATGGCAGTCTGCACCTGCATCTTGAACCCAGGATGCTTAGTCTGGAAACCTAAGATTTGTGGGCATATCAGGGGAACTCTGAGCTTGCTTAGATATTCACACCAGCCAATTCTCTGATCAGGTGCTATCCACATGTATTTGCTTGTGACCTTGTTGTTAGCTTATTGGTTTGCATGGAATCTGATTTCTCTGAATTAAATCACTGCTTTGAAATTCACTCTGATTTCAATAAAGTCTTTATCAGGAAGACCAAAGGTAAATAACCAACTGCCATTAAGGGTATATACCTTTTTCACCTATATGTTTTTATCCTTATACTTTATTCACTCATATATTGTCTAGAAGCAACTTGGAGAGATGCCTTTATATGACAGGATTGGGCAAACTGATAGCAGCAAGATAAGAAAGATCAATGAAGATGAGGACAGAGTGGAACCAAAAATAATGCTGCAAGTATATATATTATGATTATGGTATTTCTGAGGCAAGGTCTTTATTTTGGCTCTAAGCTACCTAGTTGCTGAATGAAAGGGAAACCTTTGTTCATTACATTATTCACAGTATTCATAAGGAAAAAACAAACCATCTGCTTAAGAGAAGTAGACTATTGGC